AGAGAGAGAGAGAGAGAGAGAGAGAGAGAGAGAGAGAGAGAGAGAGAGAGAGAGAGAGAGAGAGCATAGATTGAGTTATCTGGTAGACAGGCTGACGAGAAGATCCCTCATCAAGAGGAAGAGGAAAGTCCGGAGAGTCCGGAAAGTCCACCATAGCCGGGGGGGGTTGATGTGAGGTGGTGGTGGCTGCAGGAGAAGATTTCTTCGAAGGAGTGGAGAGAGGCGGGAGGATATTGAGGCTCGCATTGTCTTTGTCAAGTCTCAAAGAGTTATTATTCTGTGTTCTGGTTCATTGAACTTCATTCAATCGTCTTCACCCGAATAGAATGCCTGGTCATTATCGCTGTATCCAGACTGAAAGTTGCACCGAATACCGCTACACCGACTGGGCAAAAGTTGCACCCGATACAGCTCTACGATGACTGGGCGCTCTATATTCGCGTGGAGATGGTGGTTGCTTTCGTGGGCGCTGTCATTCTTTTTTTCTTTTTCCTTCTTCTTTCTGTCGCTAATTGGTTTGATTGGACGTCTGGTTAACAGAAAACAAAAGAATGTGTGTTGGATGTCATTAAATATCAAGCTTCTGTTGTTGCGAGGGCTCTTTGGATGCAATATAGAGTTAAAAAATCAGAAATGGTAAATTTGCGCCTGCCTCTTATTTCCTTTTGCAACGTGGAATCCTTTGCACCTGGCTTTGTCACATTCTCAAGAGAGAGGACAGGATTGCAAATCGGAATTGTAACTGTGCAGGCAGTGGAGTTAGAAAAGCACAATTTAGTACTTACATCCAAATCTTGTCTGCCACCTTCTACTGCGTATTATGCGATCATATAAAAGGCTATGATGATGACTTCAAAGTTCACATCATTGGGTCAGGAAAAACCTCCGAACTTCAATTTTATTCCGCGTTCTTTTGAACTCTCTCTTTGCGTGTGTGTGTGTGTGTGTGTGTGTGTGTGTGTGTGTGTGTGTGTGTGTGTGTGTGTGTGTGTGTGTGTGTGTGTGTGTGTCATGGACCTCCACACACACACAACAAAAAAAAAGCATGACTGTGCCGAGCTACTTTGTCGGACTTGCACCAGAGGTTGGTGTGTGTTGGGAGGGGGGGGGAGGAGGGGGGGGGGGGGGTTCAGATGAGCACCATTTTGTGATCCGTTGTGTCTGATAGAGGTCGAAATTGACTTAACTTGGCTGTTGTCTCGTCGTAAACAATTGCCTTGGTGCAACTGCACTGACCACCATAACTCCAGTGGACAAATAAGCAGAATGTCAAGCCAGGACACAAACTACCGAAGGAAGGTTTACAAGGGAGGCCATACCCATCGATGTACATGATACGCCGAGAAAAGACAAATGTGCATGTGTGCATATGTGTGTGTGTGTGTGTGTGTGTGTGTGTGTGTGAGAGAGAGAGAGAGAGAGAGAGAGAGAGAGAGAGAGAGAGAGAGAGAGAGAGAGAGAGAGAGAGAGAGAGAGAAGGTGATAGATGGATTCTGAGCTGACCTTGGTTGATCAACTAGGGGTTGTGTGATGATTGGGATCTGGCCGTTTCCTTTTCTTGATATTTTACTCTCCAAACGAGATGGAAGTTGTGAACCTGATCTGCTTGGTAACTGGGCAAGAGTTCAGTGACAGCCTGGCAGGTGGGGACCACCTGAGCCCCTGGAGTTGGCTGACACGACTCCCATGGGGAATCTGTTGCTTGCTCCTGTTGTTGGTGTTGTTGCCTTTCCTGGATGGGAGCTTGGTCCTCTTGTTTTTTCTGTGCCTTGCAGGGTTTCCCGGCGACGCCTCCCGACCTTGTTGTGGCCACTCCAGCTAGCCTTTTGAATCACCTCTTCGCGTATGATCCTCGTCAACGGCGGCGGACTGCTTTCATCCGAGACCTTCGCTACATGGTGAGCAAAGCTGATATTCTCTACCTCTTCTTCGTTCGTTTTCGCATTTGATTTGCGCTCTTAGCTAGTAACTGGCCGACGCCGTGGCGGGCATAGCACTATGCCTACCGTGCGTTTGAAGTTTGCGCACCCAAATGATAGCCGTCAAAGAGCATGAGACTAGCCATGGTGATGACACCAACAGATAATGTGGGCGGCAAAACGAAGAAGAACGGTATCTGGCAGACGACAAGAGAAAATGCGGTACGGTCTGATGTTAGAGTCGAGATGAGACTGATCTTGGTGATGACATCAACAGATAATGCTGATGCAGCTTTTGCCGAAAATGAGTTGAATGGCTAAATTAATTATTCAGGAACATGTCCTTCGGGACATCCGTTAAAGTTGGAAAGATACAGAGAAGATTAGCATGGGCCCTGCGCAAGGATGACACACATAAATCGAGAAATGGTCCAAATTTAGAAAAAAATATTCAAAAATAATAATAATAAATTATACGGGAACATTGCAGTGGTAGGAAAAAATTATCAGAATTGATAGCCTGTGATCAGAATTGATAGCCTGTGAGCCAGGCAGCCCGCTTTTGCTTTGACTGCCCTGGTATGGGTCGCTGGGAAGACCTGGCTAGGGGAGGTCCACGCAGGGTCCCTGCCGGTCGCAGCTGCAAAATAAAAAAAAAATTGAAAATTAAAGCAATTTATACTTTTCTCGGCCTTTTGGCGAAGATTTAGAGTCGTATCTGTTCCGATCAGTAAACAACAACAACAACGGAGTTACGGACTAGGAAAAAAGATAATACAAACGAGTTTGGCGGAAGGGTCGCCTCAAATCCCTCGTTTTAATACCCTACAGCACATACATATCACAGAAAAAAAGAAATCAAGAAAAAAAGCAAAAACAAATCAAGGCAATATGGCAGTTTCAGTGAAGACTTCGACGAAAATGACACCACCTATTAACCACGTGACGTGAGATAGGAAAAGAAACTAGAAAACAAGAGTTACACAATACCCCCCATTTCACCCCTTAAACCACCAGAACCTCTGCCAGTGTTGGGAAATTAAGGAAAACGGGCTGTTCCCGAAGAGTTGGGGGAGGTTCCCTGGAGGCTCGGCTCGGCAAAAAGACTAAAATTTAGTCCCATGTTGCCCAAGCGCGAGGATATTGACCCTGGACAAAAAATTAGTCCCATGTTGCCCATGCATGAATTCCCAATGAGGCCTCAGTTCGTCAATTTTTGAAATCTTGGTGGGCATCAGACAGTTTCCACGCGCCAGTTGGTTATAGACGCCTTGCTTGTGAGAAGCAGAGATATTCCTGGGCCTTCAAGGCCATTCCAGCAACGTGGTTGAAGCAGGGTACACCTCACGTTTGCGCCTGGGTGGTTGGGCACACACCTAGCCAATTCGGTCCCAGGCCATTGTCTCAACGGGCCTGGGCGCGGACACTTTGGCCCAATCTGAAGCTACTGGGCCCCTGAAGCTACTGGGCCCACGCGAGGCCAGGCCAGGCAGCCAAAACCGGACAGAGGATATGCACAGCGGAAGTTCGAAATACGCCGAGAATTGAAAAACGAATTCCAATTCTATCATCCCCCATCCTCCTCCACTCAATCCAAAGCATACTTGCAAGCAGACGGACCGGACGAGCGTCCGGTCCGGTCCGCTTTGCCGCGTGCGGCACCCTCCCCCGGACCGGACGGACCCGGACCAGACCGGACTGGACGGGAGCGTTTTTTTTTTTTTTTTGGGGGGGGGGGGGCGTAACTGGTCGTCGGGCGCACATTCGTGCCTGTCTC